AAGAATTTCACATCATTGTGTCGAAAGAATTGCTTGCCAAATGCTTCTGCGAAAGTGATTTTTTATACCTTGTGAAATCACCGTTAGATCCATGTCCGATTTACCGTCTAAATATGCTCATTGTCGATATCCATGAATGAATTTCTCTTTCGAGACATTCGACCTTGTAGAGTTAATTAAAGATTCAATCTAACCTATTAATCTCAATATTGACATAAATCACTTATTTTTGTAACACTTTAATTCAGATTAGATATTACCATTTAATTAAATTCAATGTAATGATAATGGAACTGTTATGTTATAAGTACTCGAAATGGGAGGGACTTGTTTTTAGTGGGAGGAGATTTCAAAAAAAGTGGGCGGAGATAACAAATAAATTAATTCCAGTGGGCGGTGCTTGTTTAGTACATTAACAAGAGAATGGGTGGAGACAATGTAATAACAAAGAATCAATTTTTATTTATAGTGGAAAAAAATGTAATGGGCGTAGAAAAATCATGAAGGAGTGTATTGAACAAAAAAAGGCGGGACTTGTTTTCAAATAAAGAAAAAAAAATATATTTAAGGGGCGGAGAAATCATGTAGAAAGTGGAGATTCAGTCAAATGGTCGGAAGTTGTTTTAGTAGAGAAAAAAAAAGTCGGAATCTGTCCAGTGGGAGGAGAAAATTGATGTAAAAAGTGTAAAACAGGCGGGACTTGTTCTTAGTGGGCGGGGATATAGGAAAAATAGGTGGGGCTTACTTTAGTGGGCGGAGACATTTCGTAAAAGTAGGTGGGATTTGTCAAATGAACAGAGAAAATGTACACAGTGGGCGGAGTTATCAAAATAGATTAATGAGAAAAGGGAATTGAAGGGAATTTATTTATTAATAATTAAATAACTCAATTAGGTATGATTTTATCAAGGAAGAAAAGTTATTATTTCGAGGAATGTTTCTAAAATTCGACTATAGATGAATTTGGACAGAGCTTCGTATTATATGTTATCTTTGGAGAATGCAAAATAGAATTTTCCATCACCTGTTTCACCTGCTGATTCGGTAAATAAGGCCCCGATATCTCGAAAACAACACTGCTGCCAATTTTTTCGCCTAGCACTTCACCTGATGACCAGGTTGTCAGACACAGCTGCAGAAAAAAGAGATCTTTAACGATTCACCACCTGTCTTTCTAATTAGAAGATAGCACGTGACCCTTTGCAGGATTGAAGATATCTGCAGCAGTTTAATTCCGAGGCCACAAGAGAGTGTACCGCTTTCCACCTGCTCCCTTTAAATGTTATTTTCGCTTGGATGTTGGATGAAAAAAAAATGTATTTCAAGCTTGACTATTGCAACTTGAAGAGAGAGAGGATGATGGTTTTTTTTTTATGGAAAAGAACATACGGTTCCTTTATCAATTCCGTGCCCGTATCCTTCTCTTGTCTTGGAAGACAGGTTAGGACACGAAAAGGGATGCAAAGGAGAAAGAGAGAGAGAGAGACCGGGTTCTCTCTGCAATTGCAGCTGTTGCGGACGCGCACGGGCCGGGTGCACCCTGAACACCACCTGGCCTCTCTCTCTCTCACCTGCTCTTTTCCTTTTGGCTCCTGCGAATCCGCGACGTACCACCCGGCAATCGAAACTTACTACGCAGTTATACAAGCCTGTTGCGTGTATTGCCTCAACTCAACACACAATATCATTCACCAGAATTCTGATTCCTCGAGTCGATAATTCGACTCATGACAATTAAGTCACTAAACGCGATTAGCTCTTACATATACGTATTTTATTCACACTCGAATAATTCATGTTATTTTTCCCCAATTCTATTTTTAATATTTTACTTTATACTAATGATATTTTGTCAATTGTTCACTATTAGGAAATAATGATAATTAATTTTCGTTCATCATAACAACATCATCTCTCTCTAAATTACATCGTAAATTTTTCAATGGCTCTTTATTACGCACAGTTTACATACGAATGACAGGTCAGAACGAATTTCCGGAATAACAGTCGTAGTCCGTTTACTCAATGTCACTTTTTTTACACACGCGCTTACGAGTGTTATAAAATTAACGTGAGTTTATTAACCGCAACGATCACTTCAATCTAAAGGGTCATTTTCTTATCTCTACACATTTAACAGATGTCATTGAAACTTAATAATGCTTCACGTTAACTAATTTTTCTAATAATATATAACAATTTTTAAACTAGTACCGAAATTATTATTGGTGTATCTCTATGATCTGATTTAATAACAATAATCAATGTTTTAAAAAAATGATAAATCTTCTTGAAATTGAAACATTAATTATATATATATATATATATATTGCAAAACAGTTTTTATTCAACACGTGCGCGATTCTTGATAGCGATTCTCTCATATTTTCGAATAAAATTTGCATAGCATCATCTGGCCTTGATGAATGAATTTAGCGTTCGCAGATACGAATTTAGTACAAGCTTTTTTAACGAGAGGAATTTTACAGATAACCCACCCACGATTTCGCTCAATTAAGTTTCGATAAAAAAAAAAAAAGCAGTGTGTCTGAAAAAATTGCATAAATAGTTGAATACCTTTTGAAATGGCACTTATTTCTTAATTTAGTATTATTGAAATAAATGACATTACAAAACAATCTACTATATATATACTTCTACGCTCCATACTTTAAGTTAACATACCATAAACCATAAAAATAATTTTATTTTTATTTGAAAAATATTGACGCACGATTAAAATTTTTTTCAAATTGCTTTGAATCTTTCAGACTCGAAACTCAATATAAGGCCGGGATTTTAATTAATACCCAAGAGTTCCTATCAGCTGTTATCTATTAAGGCTTTTGCGGGCTATCGCTTGTTTGCCTCAAAAGCCAGAATCTCGTCAAGAACCTAAACGACTTTTTTTTTCTTTTTTTTTTTTTGAACGATTGTGAGAAAATTAGAAAGCAAAAAAATTTTATTTTCAGATAAACTACAAAATTTATGATCGTTTACAGGAAAGAGAAAGAGAGATTAATTATCAAATTTTTTAATTTTCCTTAAAGAAACGGGAGTATGGACATTCTTGAAATTTTAATTTGAACATATAAAACAAAAATTAAAACATTTTTTTTCAAATTCAGCAAAATTTTTATAGTAAAGATAAAAATTAATTCAGATTAATTATTTTTAAAATATATATAATTTTTGAAATTTCAGTCAATCTTGGATTTAAATTTCTATTACATAATTGGTGCAATTACCCTCTAAATTGTGAATAATTAAAAGAAAATAATTTTTTGTATTCAAAAAACCCCGCACCATTTACATGGGAATTTTGGGTCCGATGAAATTTTCTGCAACTTTATAATTTTGTAGTTTTTGACCTCCTGAGCAAAAAATGTAAATGGCAAAATTCCAAAAAATGGACAGATTTTTTAAAAATTGAGGTTTAAGTTTAAAAAATAGTGTTACAAGGGAAAAAAATTCAAAAATGAGTAAAATCAAAAGAAGTAAACAAACTGTCTTAAAACTCGCTACTCGAGGGTTTTCGGGGTCGCTCATTACGAATTCGATGTCAATTTTTGAAAATCCAAAATGGCGGATTCAAAATGGCCGACGATTTTTTGAAATACATTGAATTCCCTTAAATCTTGTTACTCGGGGGGTTTTCGGGGTCGCTAATTACGAATTCGATGATAGTTTTTCAAAATTCAAAATGGCGGATTCAAAATGGCCGACGATTTTTTGAAATACATTGAATTCCCTTAAATCTTGTTACTCGGGGGTTTTCGGGGTCGCTAATTACGAATTCGATGATAGTTTTTCAAAATTCAAAATACCGGATGCGAAAAAAGGTTTAAAAAATTTTTTTTTTAACGAGTTTTAAGAAAGTTTGATTAGTTCTTTTGATTTTATACTCATTTTTGAATTTTTTTCGCTTTTAACGCTATTTTTTAAACTTAAACCTCAATTTTTAAAAAATCTGTCCATTTTTTGGAATTTTGCCATTTACATTTTTTTTGTTCAGGAGGTGAAAAACTACAAAAGTTCAAAGTTGCAGAAAATTTCACCGGACCCCAAATTCTCATATGTAAATGGTGCGGGGTTCTTTTATATTTCATGTTTTATCAATGTTAAAAGTGTTTTTTTGAAGATATTAGAATAAACGATTTCTTGGAAGGGTTAACTAGAAAATAATAAATTCTGTGAAAAAAGTATAACTTCTGCGCGCGATATATAAATTCTTCTCGATTGGTGAAGCAGCTTTAATAGCCGGATTTGGTACAATACGACCCACGGTCCCTTGCGAGAGGAGGAAGGCGGCCTCTCGGTGGCCCTGATCCTGAAATAGTTCGTCTGGAACTGCGTCATCGGAGATTAGAAACTCGGTACTTGCCTAATGAAACGCTGTCCGATATCGTCAAAAGGGTAATCCGAAACTTTTTGCCACTCAACATATATATCTCCGTGAGAATGTTGAAAAAAAAAGTCATTGGAAAATCACATATTAATCTCAAAATTCTATTAATCAATCTTTTTAAAAAATCAAACTTTTCTTTCTACTTTATTTCCATTGTTATTATATTTTTATAAAATTTAAAATATTTCATTTAATTATTTATTTTTTTTTAAATTTTATTCCCAAAAAAAATATTTTATCAATTGCGTAAAGTTTTCGAGACAAGATTATAAAAAATATAATAATTCTAATTCGGCAAAGGAGAATGAAATTGTCGCGGGGGCGCGTAAATGAAAAAGTGATTTGTCAGAACCACAAAGAGTGCTTATCAAATTTAGGAAATGGTGCTATCTAAAAATAAAAAAAAGTGTTTAAAAAATGCTCGAAAAAATTATAATATATATATATAAAATGGAAACAAAGACGGCACGTGTTGAAAATTCCTAACGGGGGGTATTTTTTTTTTTTATTAAATTGATTTAAATGGAAATACACACATACATAATTATATATACAAATATATACATATATGTAAAGTTTGAAACACACTTACCCAAAGGTCATCGAGACTGATGGAATTGTCGGTGTAAAAGACGAGCACCTCGGCCGATAGGGGCCTCGGTTCCCTTAATTTCGAGGCCAAAAGAAGGCAAGCTGTTCCCAGCAGCTGTAGCTGTGACTTTCTGATTGGACAGATAGAAAGAAACCTGTCGACGTAATTCATTGACAATGGAAAAACCTCCTCTTGACATTTTTGATCCTCACATACCTGCAAATCATCAGTAACAAAAAAAAATAATAAAAAACAAAGTTAAAAAAAGAAATATACGTAAAACGAAATATTTATCGAAACATAATAAAAAGTATCTTACTAAATTGTGTTTTAATTTCATTATAATAATTTCATTGAATTCAAAAGATAATTAAAACCTTCAGTTTCTATAAAAAATATTCGTTTTCTGTATACGTGTGATTAATGTTGTGATATATATCTAAAGATAAATAAATTCGTCAGTTGAAATTAAAATACGTTGCAATTTTCCGTTGGCAAAAAAAAAATGCAACAGGCAGTATATAGAATAAAAATCAACAGGTGATTAGGGAAAAACATAATAGTGACCCTAATTTTTTTTTTTTATATTTTGGCTTGTTTATTCCTATACATATATATATAGTGTAAAAATTATTTTAATTTTGTTATTGCGGGGGTCACGCTTAGTAATTCTCCCCCCCCCCCCAACAACCCGCCACTCGACAGTCGTCTTGGCACCCTTTTTGAAGAATAATAATTACACCTGGCGCACGGGTGCTTGCCAGTGATAATTAGCAACTCTCGGTTTACGCCCTAATTATCCTCTTGGTCATAATTTTCAGTGCCATTTTAACTTATTCTTGAATACAAAATTCTTTCATGGTTCGCCAATCTATTTTACTTGCGAGAGTTTTTCATAAATTATGTCTTGTTTTAATTAGCATTTCCTTTTTTGCAAATTAATAATATTATAAAGTATAGCGCGCATTCAATATCTATCCTTCGACTATATTTAAATAATACGAGAAAAATAATATTCTTTATAGGATATAGTAGCAAAATTAAATTAAATCTTTTAACTAAAAAAAAGAACGAAATTATAATTACGTTATAAAATAATGTCAATTTAAAAATAAGGCGTGATTCAAAATTAAAAGTAAATGAAATTCAATTAAAATCATCAGGCCTCGGATCGACTTACAGGCACAAAAAAAGTCGATTTATGTTCCAAAAAAAGTCGATTTTTTTTATTTTAACAAAAAAAATTTTAAAGATTTTCAAATAAAATTTTTTTTTTAAATAATAATTTTAAAAGAGTTATAAAGTTGAAATTTTTAGAAATAATTGAATTTCAAAAGATTTTGTTAATTTTCAGACAATAATTAAATTTTATAGAATTAAAAATAATTTATTAAATAATTTCGGATAACATTTTTTAAAAGTAATTTAATTTTCAATGATTTATAATTGAGATTTTTGAAATTAATTGAACTTGAAGTGATTTTTAATTAAAAAATGGTTTCAGATAATTGAATTTTCGAATAATATTATGAAAATAGTTAAAGATAATTGAATTTCATGAGAGAATTATAATTGAAATTATTAAATTTCAAACAATTTTAGATGGTAAATTTTTTAAAAGCTTTTAAATTAAAATTTTTGAAAATAATTGAATTTCAATTGAAATTTTGGATAATAATTGAATTTTAGTTGATTTTAGATTGAAAATATTGATAATAAATAATTTTGAATTGAAAATTTTGAGAATAATTGAATTTTAGTTGATTTTGAATTGAAATTTTTGAAAATAATTGAATTTTATTTGATTTTGAATGGAAATTTTGTAAAATTTTTTGAATTTTAAAAGATTTTGAATTAAAAATTTCGTAAATAATTGAATTTTAATTGAAATTTTGGAAAATAATTTAATTTCAAAAGATTGTGTTAATTTTCAGACAATAATTATTATAATAAGAGAAATTTCTAATAATTTCTGTTGATGAAGAATTTATTAGAATTTTTTTGGTAATTTTATTTTGTTAATTTTTTAAAATTATATACAATGATTAAATTTAATAAAAATTTTAATTGAAAAATAGTTTAAAATAATTATGAATTTGTGATAAATTCCATTAAAATTATTAAAAATAATTAATTTAGTGAAGAGTTTTAGTTAAAAATTTGTTAAAATAATTGAAATAAAGAAGATCTGAAGAAGATCTGCATTTTATACTAAAAAAATCGTAATTTATTCAAAAAAATTTTTTTTAAATGTTAAAAAAAAGTCGAAAAAGTCGCATTTTATTAAAATATGTCGAAAAAAGTCGGAAATAGTCGAAAAAGTCGTATAATCCGAGGTCTGAATCATTTTTAAAATTAAAAGAAAATCAAAATTAGTGCAAAAAAAAAAAAAAAAAAAATTACATGCAAGAGTAAAATATAATAAAAGTTAATTAATGATAAATGGTAAATTAAAATGAATGAAAATGAGTAAAATAAATTTAATTGAAATCAGGAGCTAAAGTCATTTATTTCTTCTTTTAAAAAAAAAGAAATTGACCATTCGAGAAAAAAAATATTCTTTTGACGAAACATATGAACCGAAATTGACTTCTGAGAAATTTCAAAGAATTAATTCTCGTTTCAAACGTTTGAACATTGCAAATTAGAATAAAAAAGTTTAAATATGTATTCCAATAATATTTCTCTCTCTCTCTCTCCCTCTAGATAGCCGCTACACTCCTGGAATTTTAATGATTCCCCCCAGAAACTTGTGGAATCTGAATATTATTTACTGTCATTGCACAAGTGTTCCCCAAATATTCCAAAGACAGCGATAGTTTTAAAAATAACGATTTAATGATAAGATTTCGTTCACAAACAAAAGCTCAAGTCCATATAAAAAAAAATTTGTTAGCATCTTATAAATATTTAAAAAAAATTTTTTTTTTTTACAAATAAGTTGAAAAAAAGTTTAAACAAAAAAATTTTGTAAAGTGTGGGAAATATATATATTTTTTTTTTGGTAATATTCTAACTCGTGAGTTTTAGAATCTTGCCCAATGAGAATATTGAAGCCAATAAAATTCCTCTCTTCCAATCTAGTCACGTCCACGTCAAGGTCACACTTACGAAGCAAATCCGCTTATTTTCAATCAGTAGGAATGTTACATTATCAATTTTCACTCTTAAATAACAAATATAAATAATAAGTGACGAAAAACGCATTGTTTTCACTGTTTAAAATATTTATTTTTAATATATCTAAAAATAACAGTTTATATGTTGAGAATGTAAAAATTGTAATACGTATACTTTATTTAAAACAGATTTTTATTAAATTAAAACTAAAATTAACATTTTTATTAGAAATGTACAAATTTATTATTATTTTATTCTATTAAACAACTATTGTTAAAAATTAATAATTAAAAAAAAAAATGAAGAAATTAACAGTCTAATGAAAAGGACAAAATTTCTAGAAATGAAATTTATTTTTTCTTGTCCACGGGTTGAGTAATTTATTGCTTCGCAAGCCGGAAGAATTTTCTGAGTTTACATTATCAATCGACTTTAATTTTAGAAAAAGTTTCGGTATATCAAAAGAGAGAGAGAGAGAGAGTAAGAGAGAAACGGAAGACGCGAAATGGTCAAGATCTTCACATGGTACACGCGGTCCGGAAGTGACACGATTCATTACTAATATTATGAGAATTACAACAACAAAACAGAAAAAAAAAACTACACAGTTTGCCGAAAAAAAGTTTACACAATGACGTCACAGTGCCTTTCATCTCGTTATTTACCGAAGAGGAAAAAAAAAAGTGCGAAATCTCTTACGAATCTTAAAAAAATTTAACATTTTGCATATACCCACAATATCAAGTATTCAGGAAATATAAAGGGACAAAATTTAATAATTTCATTTTATATTCACCTTAAATAAAAAATTTGAAAATATTTTAATATCCTAAACTCGAATATTTGATTTTAATTAATTATTATTGTGAGGATTTCGTTTTGTCAAAACTATTTTAAAAAAAAAGTTTGCTTTTAAGAATTGGTTTGATAAGGAGAATGAAAAAAGTCAAAAGAAAAACCCTAATAAACAGCCAGTCCTGAAAAAGATGTCAAATATTATTCTCCACTTCCACGAAAGACGGGAATTTAATAGAATAACTTTTATAAATACTCGAGCAATCAATTTTAATAAAATTAAAGATAATCTTTCGATTTAAACACTAAAAACTTATATGAAGATACATAATTTTATTTTAATAAATATAACTGTTATACAAAAAACAAAAAAAAAAAAAAACAATTTTTTTTATGTAAATTTCCGGCCATATTGATTTCGTCATCAAAAGCAATTTTTAAATGTCTCCAATTTCTCGCCAACAAAATCGAAACAAATGACTAAATAAGCATTGTCGAGCGGTTATTGAACTTTCCGTCAACAATGAGTTTTCCAAGGGCGAAAATCGATTAGGTCTCTCACTCGGGCACTTTAGCGAGAAACAAAACAAAGAGTCCCTTTAAATTTTAAACTCCACCATATCATATGAGAAATTCCGTAAAATTGACATTCTCAAAATTTTTACCCCAAAACAAAACCCGAACATATGTAGTATTGTATTTTTTTTTTTTTGTTATTTCAAGGTCAAAAGACTTTTAAAAATTTTTGCCAACGTACACGTGGACCGGAAACGACTTTTGGTTGCTCACCTCCAACATCCACTCGGCGACGATCTTGCGCATGACCGGCGAGATGTCTGTCTGCACGCATTGAAAGTAAGAACTCCGGGGTGCAAATCTTTCTTCAGATTTGAGAAGATTTTTCAAAACTCGATCATCTTCGAGAAGTGCTGGATCCGGATATGCTCTGCACTCAGTCTCTGAATTTTCGCAACAAAGTAGATCCATTTCCATGTCGAAAATTTAAAACAAAAAATAAAAAAAATTTGAAATATTTTTGCTAAAAAAAAAAGAACTTGCAAGGAAAAACAAAAACTCAAAGGTACACTTTTGCACGAGTTCCTATTTGAAAATGTGAATCACACGTGGCTCGATTCCTTTCTTTCTTTTTCTTTTTTCCTGTCTCAAATCAAGAGACGAGTTTCAACATGAAACACTAGGACACACTTCACATTAAAAAACACTTTCGATTATTATTATTATTATAATAAATACGGGGAGAGTAATAAATAGGGGGTGGGTGGTAGAAAATTTCGGACCCGTCCGAATTTCCTTTTCCTTTCTCACGTGATTGTCTTGATATTTGTATCTTCTGCCGATCCGACACTGGCTGCTTACCAGGTCAGAATGCGTGGACTGTGCGCCAGTGAATCTTGCAGACCGTCTCTAACCCCCTCCACTTTTGGCGCCTCGAGTCACGTGATTGCAAGGTACCACTACCAAAGTTCCATAATGTTAAAAGAGCGCTGGACTCGCCGCGAGCTCAGCAATCGCATTTAATCCCCGCAAAAGTTGAGATATAGAGAGAGAGAGACAGAAAGAGACTACGGTGGCCCACAAGAAAGGACTTTCAACTAATACACTTTTACTTTCGGATCGTTCCCACGATTTTTGGCTGTCTATACTTTTTTCACCCCTCCCTAATTTTTTGTCGTGCTTTTTACTCACGAATTGGTACTTGAACTTTTTCCAAGATTTTAATATACATTTATTATTATTATTATTATTATTATTATTATTATTATTACATCCTAAAAAAAGTAATTTTCAATCTAGAGGATTCCTCTAAAATAAATGCATATTTTACTCTTAATTTTGGTATCAAAATTATTATTCTTCATTTAAGAGGATTTTCCTCTTAAATTAAATGTCGACATCCAAACCTCGTAAAATTGTTTTTAATGTCAAAGCCATCAATAAAATATTTATAATTTCAATCAAATAATAAAATCTTTGCAGAAAATACATTTTTAAATTAAAATTAAGTAAAATTATAATAGTTCATTTCAATATAATAATAAAAATTGTTTTTTAATATAACATTAACAATGTCATGTTTTTGGTTAATTATCAACATTTTATATTGATAATTAAAATACAAAAAATAAGTTTTCATTAATCAGTTGTAATGATCAACGAGATTTTCAGCGCAAAAATAATTTTAAAACATGATGATATGTTTAAAAGTTAACATTTTTTATAGGACAGAAAAAAATTTCATATATGAAATTATTTAACGTTTTAAAACTTTTTTAAAAAAGTAAATAAAAAGATTTAAAAAATTCGAAAGATTCAAAAATGGGGTTATAGTATTTCTATTTACCTGAGTAGTAAAATTTCACAAGAAATATCCAAATTTTTTTAAATCTAAAAATAGCGTTAAAAATATTCATTTAATTTGAATTTAATTATATTTTCTGTATTTTTAATAAAGCAAATCCATTTTTTTGTCCTTTTTGTTGACATTTTACCAGAAATATTAAAACTGAAAGGTTAAAAAACAACTTCACAACTATCATACCCAGGGAAAGGGATCAAACGATTACATTATTTTTTTCCGTTTCCTTTTTTTAAATCTTCTAAATTTAAAACGGAAAATCTTAATTAAAGAGGAAAATACAAAAGGAATCCTTTTGTCATTCTTCCATTAAAATGAAGAATAAAAATATTCTACATTTCAATTGAATAATCTTGTTTTAAGAGGAAATATTTAGAGGATATTAGAAGAGGAATTTTCCTCTAAGTATAAGATTACTTTTTTTTGGGTGTATTATTATCATTATAGAAGAAAAATATTTGTTCACAAAGAAATCGTAGGAATTTTCTATATGTGATACGTTTTTGCATTAAAAATATACTTGATTTTATAATATGATTATTAAATTTTATTATATTTATATTGTTATCATATAACTTAAAATTTTTATTATAAAATCATTGTCGAGTTATTATTCACAAAAATAAATACTGCACCGAAAAAAAAATCCTTTTGTTTCAAGAGGACACCTTTTATTTCAATGCATATTTTCCTCTATAGTATATGCTGCAAAAGGATATGTCCTCTAGGTTTAAGAGGATTGTCCTTTATGTAAAATTATTCCTCTTAATTTAAGAGGATACTCTTATTTTAAGAGGAAAATATCATGTTAAAAAGAATTCTGAAATAATAAAAATGCAATCATCTAATTTGTATGTCGTATATAGATATAATCTATAAAATTAAAAGAAATAAAATTTTGTTATTCCATGATTTACATCTATTTGAGTATAAATAAATTGTGAATTGATTTTAATTTTTTTTTTTTTGAATAAATCAAATCGACTAAATCTATTTTTAATAATATTTTTATGCGCAAAACATAAAATTCATTAAATTTGAAAATTTATTTTAAATAAATTTTCAAATAATAAATTAAAATAAATAAAAATCGTAATAAAATAAATTTTTAAATATAGGATAATCTCAAAATTATTTAAAATTTTCTTAAAAATTACTTTTAAAAATTTCTTTTATCTTAGAATTTAGAGGAATATTCTTAAACATAGAAGATTATTCTAAAAATTCTAAGAGTATTATTTTCCCTCACAGCACCAGATATCCTAGGATATTCCAAAAACATCCCTTGGATATCCTAGGGATACCCCAGAGATATCCTATGGATACTTTAAGGATATCCAAAGTAGCGGTGGTTTTGGATATTCTAGGGTTATCCCAGGGATATCTAAGGATGTCCCTAGGACGTCCCAGAAATATCCTAATTATTTCCCCGGATATTATTAGGATATCCTGTGGATATCCTTAGAACGTCCCAAGGATATCCTCAGGACGTCCAATTACGTCCTAAGGTAACAGCACAGATTTGAAAGATGATTGACAATCACGGGAAACCTATTATTTGTATCAAAAAATCGCTATCTCAAATAGTCAAAATTTTAATCATAATGATATCCTTGGGAGATCTTAGCGATATTTCTAGAATATTTTAACGATATACCAAGTTTATCCCTGGAATATCCCCACGATATCACTAGGATTTCCCTGGAATATCCCCAGGATATCTCTGGAATATCCTCAGGATATCCTACGTAACGGCGGTTTGGATGTTCTGAGGATATCCTATGGACGTTTTCAGGATATCCTACATTAGTTTAGGATATCCTTTTGTTGTGAGGGTTTATTCTAAAAGATTATTCTGCATATAAGAGGAATGCTCTAGAATAGTCCTTTTGTTTCGATCCTCTTGAAATTAGAGGAAAATATTCTCATTTAAAGAGTAATACTTTTGTTTTAAGAATAAAATTCAAGAGGATTCTGTAAGAGGAATTTTCCTCTGAATACAAGAATATTTTTTTTTCGGTGTGATCGGAAAGTATTTAATATATTGTGCATTGCAGTATAGATAGTAAAAATAGGACTTGTAAATTTATGCAAGTGAAAAATTGAAATATAGGGCTCAATGATAAAATTCCCATTTATCACATTTTATATATATATATATATATATATTAAGAGGTTTCATATTTCATTTCATTTGTGTATTTTAATGCAAAATTTCAAAATTAAACAATCTCGATGATGTGACATTTTTAAAATGGTGGATCCAATATGGCAGACTTTTATTAAATTCATCGGATTCGCGCTTGAAACTCGTTACTTGGAGATTTTTGGGGTCACACGATTATAAATTTGACATCAAAATTCAAAATGACCTCCTTTTTTCTATTATAGAATCAAAACGAAAAAGTCCAAATCGTTATTATGTAGTTAATTTTTAATTACACTGCAAAAATAAGTGACTTATTTGGTATCTTACAATAAGATGTAATATGAAAAAATGGTATCTTCCATCTTAAAAGAAGATATTTTGTAAAGTATCTTATTAATATTTAAGATGCTTTTTGCATTTTAACAAGAATTAAAATATTTCTTCCATCTTAAAATGTAAGTTACTTCGGTAAGTTTCTATATATAAGTAACTTGAAATAAGATATTTGTGGGGTCATAAGATGTTTAGAAAAAAGATGCTTGTAAATTTTAAGATACGTCAGAATTTGAAGTTACTAAAATATAAAATACATTAAGCATCTTACATAAGAGGCCATAGTTAACCTCAAAATTTTTTTTATTAAAAATATGTGAAGCACTTTGGCAAAGATATTCACTGCAAAAAGAAGTGTCTTAATATAAGATGTTTTTGTAGTCACTTTTAAGACGTTTTGGTAGTAACTTTTTAGTTATTTAATGTGTCTTATTTTAAGATGTTATATAATAGGAATAAAGCATCTAAATATTAAAATTAACATCTTATTCTAAGATGGAAGCGAATGGAAGTTACCATTTCTGTCTATTAACATCTTGTTTTAAGATATCAAGAAGATACAACTTTTTGCAGTGTTATTAACATCTTAAACTAAGATATTTCAAATAACTAAAAAGTTACTACCAAAACATCTTAAAAATGACTACCAAAACATCTTACATTAAGATACTTCTTTTTGCAGTGTACGAAAATATATACTTTTTTTTAGAAAAATGTTCGATTATATTGAAATAAAAATGGAAAGTTTATACAAGAAAATGATTAAATTTAATAAAAACACCCAGTAGATATTCCGAAAAGGATTCCAATCCAATTAGAAGAATAAAATGAAATACTTCATCTTGCTCTCATTGGCAAAACTTGTTCGCAAATCAGTGAATATATATATGTATATATATATATATATATATATATATATCGTTACACATTTAAAAGTCTTAGAACAAGTTCGCGGTTCAACGACAGCGATAAGAATGCGCGTATGTTCGATGGCAAAAAGGCGAAATTGAGATGCTCGGCATCGACGACCGTGAAAAGTTGCCGTGTCGATGGCAACGAGAGTCGTCGTACAATTAAATTCACGTGGCAAGTCACTAAACCCTCATTTACCTTTATAATAGTAATTTCATTTAAAATCACAGAAACCAATAATTGATGAAATGCATATTTACCAAGGCATGCATTATATCTAAGAAATCGAAGTATTTATTTAAATGTAATAAAATTTTATTTATTTTAATATTACGTTAAAAATATTTACAAAAAGATTATAATTTAAAGAGCCAGAGTATGACGAAAACAATAATAAAGGTTTTTAAATCAGCAAATCGTTACACCTTTCTAATATTTTGTATATATATACATTATTGTACATCGAGCAATATTGTGACATTTTTCTTTCGCAATAATAATAATTAGTTATCAAGTATCTTTCCATTTTGCAGTTCTTTGAGTTTTTCATTACTATACATATATTATGATTGTGTATACGTCAGAATTCTTAGAGATTGCGAAATCTTCAAGTCAAATTTGATGCTTCCGCAGA